CTGGGTGGACATGTGTGTCGCCACGCGTGGACACGTGACACTCGTGTGTCACCACGTGTCAGCCGTATGTGCCCACGCGTGTCACCGGGTGCAGACGGGTGTCACCCGTGTGTCACCGTGTGTCACCCTGTGTGCCCACGCGTGTCACCGTGTGTCACCCATGTGTCACCCGTGTGTCACCGTGTGTCACCGTGTGTGCCCACGCGTGTCACTGTGTGTCACCATGTGTCACCCATGTGTCACCGTGTGTCACCGTGTGTGCCCACGCGTGTCACTGTGTGTCACCGTGTGTCACCCTGTGTGCCCACGCGTGTCACCGTGTGTCACCGTGTGTGTCCATGTGTGTGACTGCGTGTGGACATGTGTCACCCATCTGTCACTGTGTGTCACCCGTGTGTCGCCGTGTGTCACCGTGTGTCCACGCATGTCACCGTGTGTGGACGGGTGTCACCCGTGTGTCACTGTGTACCCCTGTGTGTCACCGTGTGTGTCCACATGTGTCACCGCGCGTGGACAGGTGTCACCCGTGTGTCACTGTGTGTCACCCGTGTGCCCATGCGTGTCACCGTGTGTCACCACGTGTGCACATGTGTCACCCGTGTGTCACCGTGTGTCCACGCGTGCCACCGTGTGTGGACGTGTGTCACTGTGTGTCACGCGTGTCACTGTGTATGGACATGCATCACCCGTGTGTCACCGTGTGTCACCCACGTGTCACCCACGTGTCACCCATGTGTCCCTGTGTGCCCAGAGTGTCACCGTGCGTGGACGTGTGTCACCAGCGTGTCACCTGTGTGTGTCACCGTTTGTCACCGTACGTGGACACGGGTGTCACCCGTGTGTCCCTGTGTGTCACCGTACGTGGACATGGGTGTCACCGTGCGCGGACACGTGTCACCCGTGCGTCGCCGTGTGTCACTCTGTGGACACGTGTGTCACTCGCGTGTCCCCGTGTCTCCACGCGTGTCACCCATGTGTGTCCACGGGTGTCACCGGCTGTGGACGCGTGTCACTTGTGTGTCCACAGGTGTGTCCACGGGCGTCACCATGCCTGGACGCGCGTCACCCGCGTGTCGCCGTGCCTGGACGCGTGTCACCCGCGTGCCCGCCTCCTGGAGGCCGGTGGACACGTGTGTCACTCGCGTGTCCCCGTGTCTCCACGCGTGTCACCCATGTGTGTCCACGGGTGTCACCGGCTGTGGACGCGTGTCACTTGTGTGTCCACAGGTGTGTCCACGGGCGTCACCATGCCTGGACGCGCGTCACCCGCGTGTCGCCGTGCCTGGACGCGTGTCACCCGCGTGCCCGCCTCCTGGAGGCCGCCCAAGTGGCCGTGGGCCACCGAGGTGGCACCGGCATCCTGGGCCGCGTCACCCGCGGCCGGAGGTGGCCCCC